AAATTGGGTAAGTCATTTGTTATTATGAATTTCATTTTAAAAAGTAGCAAAATGTAGACATATGATAGCTAATATCTTAAAATGGATAAATCTTAAACATAAAAAAGTGATGTATTATTGAGATAATTTAATTAATTTTCGTTTAAAGAAATTGTGAGCAATTTTATGAGTACAAAGAACTTTAGTACTGCGTGCGAAAATTAAAAAAAGAAAAGTCTGATAAATGTTTAATTGGTAATATGATTTTTCACGCATTAGGAAGCAATTCGATTGTTAAGCCTTAAATAATGTTTCTAATTAAATATATTTCATTAATGCAGATGTTATTTTAAATTACCTAGTTAGATACAAAGATCTAATCCCTTTGAATGATCAAATTCTATTTTCGATGAACCTTAAAAATGTAGGTGAATTTGTCATTAAAAAGGCTTGATTTACAAAACATATCCAAAACATCACAAAAATGTTTACGTTCCAAAAATCGTTTTTAATAATAAAAGGATTAATTTCTTTATGGTATAATCTCGAGACACATTTGTTTTTACTTGTAGCTCTATTCCGCATTATCTATCCATACAATATCCTGAAAGCATATTTATTCAAGATTATTCTGTCAGAATTTCAAGTCAATTCCAACACATCTGACAAAGTTATGAAACTTAATATAGTGTTTATTTATGATAATGTGAGAAAAACTTCTAAAGCCATTATCTCGAATACATGTTTTTAAAGTCAGTGACAAAACTTCTAAGATTCTACTCATCCAATTTATCTAATCTTGGCTTCTTTTTTTGTTCAGCAATATTTACTTCAGTACTTAATCATATGGTCTTCCTCTCCGATTCAATATTTATTCGAGATACAATTAATGTAATTTGTATCTAATAATCTACTTTTAATTAATAATCCCGATTTATTGTTCAGCCATACTTATTCGAGATTTTTCTCTCAAAATTTCAAGTCTATTTGAAGACATCTGACAAAGTCATGTAGCTTGAAATAGTATTTATTTATGATAATGTGAGAAAAACTTCTAAAGTTATTATCTCGAAAACATGTATTTAACGTCAGGTACAAGATTTCTCCTTTTCTACGCATCCGAATCTAATTTTTGTTTGTTTTTCTGATTAGTAATATTTTCTATATAGCATATAATAATATATATAGTTCTCAATCATAGTCTTCTTCTTAAATTTAATATTTATTCAAGATCCGATTAATATAATTAATATTTGATAATATGATAATAATTTGATTAAATAATAATTCCGATTTAATATTCATTTATATTTAATCAAGACTTTTCTTTCAAAATTTCAAGTCTATTTGAAGATATCTGACATAGTTATGCAGCTTCAATTTTTATTTATGATAATGTGAGAAAAACTTCTAAAGCCATTATCTCGAATACATGTTTTTAAAGTCAGTGACAAAATTTCTTAGATTCTACACATCGAATTTATCTAATTGTCGTTTGTATTTCTGACCAGCAATATTTTCTTTATTACTTAATCATATAGTCTTCTTCTCCGTTTCAATATTTATTCAAGGTACGACTAATGCAATTTGTATCTGATAATATCCTTTCAAGTAATAATTCTGATTTATTATTAAGCCATATTTATTCGAGATTTTTCTCTCAAACTTTCAAGTCTATTTGAAGACATCTGACAAAGTCATGAAGCTTANTCTATTAATAATTAATCCGATTTAATATTTATTTATACTTAATCAAGATTTTTCTTTCAAAATTTCAAGTCTATTGGAAGACATCTGACAAAGTCATGAAGCTTAAAACAGTATTTATTTATGATAATGAGAAAAGAAATTCTAAAGGTATTATCTCGAAAACATATAATTAAAGTCAGGAACAGAATTTCTCAAATTCTACGCATCCGAACCCAATTTTTGTTAGTTTTTCTGATCAGCAATATTTTCTTTAGTTCTTAATCATAGTCTTGATCTTAGATTTAATATTTATTTAAAATCCGATTAATATAATTAAGATCTGATAATATTCTATTAATAATAAATCCGATTTAATATTTATTTATACTTAATCAAGATTTTTCTTTCAAAATTTCAATTCTATTTGAAGATATCTGACAAAGTTATGCAGCTTAAAATAGTATTTATTTTTGATAATATGAGAATAACTTCTAAAGTCATTATCAGGAATACATGTTTTTAAAATCAGTGACAAAACTTCTGAGAATCTATGCATCCAATTCATTTAATTTTCATATCTATTTCTGTTTAGCAATATTTTCTTTAGAGCTTTATCGTATTGTCTTCGTTCCCGCTTCAAATTCCATTTTACACAATCACACAAAAACCAACTATAAAATTAAAAATAGTTTGAAAAATTACTATTTAGTAAATATTTTTATTACTATTCGAACATTTTATAAGAGTTTTATTGCTAATGAACCCTAGTTGATTTGTCAATACTTTCTGATGCATTGGTAGTTATAATAGTTATTCATTATAAAGTTATGTCATTGTTTGTAAAGTTATATTAGTTATTAGTTACATTAGGTAGTTATATTAATATTTATAACATTATATTAGGCTGTAATAAAATCATCAAAATTAAGTTGATTACCACAGAAAAACTAAATGCGTTTCTAAAAGCTATTTTACACATCCCCTCAATTAACTGTAGTAATTCAACAAGTTTTGATGTTTTTAATCTCGCTTTCCTCGTTAATGATTAGACAGATTTTAGTAATATTTTTTCAAGTTCTAATATTCTATGTATAAATTTTTTTCAAGATTTTAAAATTTATAGAAAATATTAAGTTACGGAACATCTTTAATTACTTTTAATTTGGTTTGATAGAAAATAAATATAGTTCATGACAATAGCTTTTAACAAAAAAATTGCAGTTTATGACATTATCTTTTAATTAAAAAAAATTGCAATTTAAAAATGAAGAATTTTACTTGTTGAGTTTAATGTATAAGACGCGTGTAGGCAATTCCAGAAAAGGAATTAAAATTTGTTGATAGCAAGGATCAATAACCTTATTACTGTTTTTTTATTAATTTTTTATCCATCGTTTTATGAAATAATTGTAAAAATATGCTTGTAAGGAAAATGTTTGTTATTTTCTTTTGTCAACAGAATCTGACATATAAATGGATAAAAGTCTTTTATCATGCAAGATTGATAAAAGTATCGATCGCTGCGAAAACTGACAACTTTCAAAATACATTTTTTTATTGTTAAACTCCCACCTGGTTATCTAATACTTGAATTTAAGTTTGATAACAGGTGATAACAAATGACATATAAATGTTCTTCAAAACATATGTCACAGTAGGTCTGTCACTGGAGGAAAAGGTATGTTATGAAGTTTTGTTTGCATATTAAGTACGATTAAGTACTAAGTTACTGTAATGAAATTAAATTATGTTGAATTAAGCTGAAATAATCTTTCAGCGAAAAATAAATAAGAGAAATTGCTAAAATTTAGAATAATGAAAAAAATTACTGTCGGTAACTAACTAGGATTGGTATCGGATTCGTGGAAAAAGTAACGAATTGTTGTAAACCGTCGTAGAACAGCAGACCGAATATTGAGCTTACGACTACCGATGTTCAATTCCGTAGCCTTGTAATTTTGAACCCAATACAGAAGACAGGGGAATATCCTGGCTGGATCAAGCATTGGGAAAGGTTTAGCTATGTGGAATACTTTTTTAATGGAACTGACCCACATTTGAGTTACATGGAGAGGAAAATCACGAAAACCTCTCATGGTTAGCCTAACGGCAAGGGAACTCCAACCCACGATCAATTTACCAATGAGGATATTTTATGTCAGCACTCTGGTCGGTGTAAGCTGGTTGCAGAATTCGTATAGATTAGAAATCACTGGGACACATTCCCTGGTCACCTCATTGGCAGTCGAGGGCTCAATTCCCTGAGCCACCACGGCTCAAGCGAACTGTTTAACGTTAATCTGAAGAAATGCTCATCCAGGCGTAAAAACTAGCATTACGAATTTCTGCATATTCTATTTCAATGCTCTTTGCTCACTGGCACAAATCATGAAAACCATTTGACTAACCGATATTTTGTTTGTCTTTCAAACTATAACTGAACTATATATAAGCGTATTAGTTAATTCAAATATATCCAAAGATGAAGACTTTTGCGATGTTTACTAAAGATTATACACAGTAATTGGAAGAAAAAAAAACAGAGTAAAAGTGTTAAAAAAATTTAAAAATTTTGAATTTCTATATCACTTCATATATTCACCGCATATATTTCAGAGATATTCAGGGAAATGTTGCAATCCATAGAATGATTTCAAAATTGATGGTATTGACGCAAGAAAGAAGTTATTCACCATCTATACGCTCATTTTAGTCGGGGCAAATTCTGCATTTTTATCAAGGACACATTTTCCAAAAGCTTCAGAGCATCATCTTTTAAATTTAACAGTTTTGCTTTGTAAAATATTCCAAAAAACAATTTTCTAACAGAAAACTTTTATACAAAAAAAGTGTTTCCATTATTTTTATCAACACTTGTATAAGAGCCGTGGTGGCTCAGGGGATAGAGAGTCCGCCTTCTAATGAAGTGAATCTGGTTCGAATCCCACCGATGGCTGGTCGATTTGAACTCCACAGTCGACTCGCACCGACCACAGTGCTGACGTAAAATACCCTCAGTGGTAGACGTATCTTGGGTTAGAGTCGCCTTGCCGTCAGGCTAACTGTAAGAGGTTTTATGGTTTTCCTCTCCATGTAACGCAAATGCTGTTTAGTTCCATCAGAAAGTCCTCCACGAATCAAATTTCTTCCGATACTTGATCCAGAAGTTCCCTTGTCCTCTGGATTGGGCTCAAAATTACAAGGCTACGGAGCTGAACATTAGTAGTTGTAAACCAAAAATTGGGGGTTGGTTGTTCAACGACGGTTATAAAAAAAACCTGCATAAAAATTATTTATAATTATAATCAAGAATAAATTTTCACAAAAAATAAATTAATTAAAGGCGAGTGGAGACATTGTTATTCTTGGTTAAAAAAAAAACATCAATAATTTTTTAATTTCTATTAATTTACAATATAACCTTGATTGTTCTGTTATTCCACAGAAAACAAGACATATTTTATGTTAGTATTAAAACCTCATTACTATTGTATTTTTTTCCCGTTAAAATTCATGTGGGCGACGAAATGAGTTGATATCGTTTTTAATCAAATTTATTCTTATTATGATTAATCATTAAAGTAGAGGAAAACTTATGTGGGTTCCGTATGGTCAAACAACTGTCTTATTATGTTTGTACTCAATCACCTGTAATGAATGTATAATTATGTGATATTTCAATGTATGATGTTCATTTTTTGTTTACTTATGTAGGAAGAATGGATCTTAAAGCAATTAGTGTGATTCTTCTGTTGAGCGTGGCGTTTGCCTCTGCCGCGTCTAAAGGTATGCATTATTTTTTTTAAATGTTTGTTTTATTTGTGTCTATTTATGTATCGTCAAAGTCTAGATTTTGGTGACATTTGTATTTTTTGGAGTCTTCGTTCTTTTTAGGTTTTTTTTTAATTTTTTCACTTTTATAATTTTCTTCCTTTTTGAATTTCGAGACTATTTTCTATTGAAGTTTCGGGACTAGTAGAGTCTTTGTAAAATTTAAAATGCGTTGTAAAAATTAAATATTTCAGTTTTAATGTATTTTAATATGTTTGTATTAAACACTATGGCGTAATATTTGTCGAATAAACTTACTTTATTTACAAAAATTGGGCACCTGGGCCACTTAGCGGCCCCTATCCCATACATCTAGAAATTTACAGAAAATTTATAGTAATAACATTTTGAATTTAGCAGTCGATGTGGTAGCTAATAGAAAAACAAGCACTTTGCTTGAGTAAATATAACATTTGAATATCTGACTCATCGAATCTAAGTTGACATATATAAATATAAGCATAATTTGACATATATATACATAAGTTGACATAAATAAATATTAACATAAATTGATACATATTTCACTAATTAAATTTCTATACTTTAACTAGCACATATTTAATTATGACATACATTGAAGTTCATTCGAATACATTGTGGCAACCATAAAAAAAATCAAGCCGTTTGCTTGTGAAATAATAAAACAATGAAAAAATTTAATATGACAAATTGACGTTTTTACTTAACACTTGAAATATTGATTGTAGACTTAAATTGATATGTACAGTAATTGATTTTTGAAAAATGAAAGTCATAATTGATGATTTGTGGAATAAATATAGCAAAATATCTCATTTATAACAGAATTTTTAACTTAAAAGTGGAAGCTATCAAACAAAATCACTAGTTTCGTTATTAAAACACAAATTTTTTATTTTTCCTTGTACTGTATGAATCCTCAGCTTTTTTTAAAAATATTTTTGAACTCATTTTTTTAAGACTTCACTAATTTTCTTTTTTAAGGTTTTGCTCATTTTGTTTTTTAAGTTTTATTTATTTACTTTTGTATTTTTTACTCTTTTTTTTTTCTTTTTTGAAGTGTTTTTTTTTAGTTTATCTATTTTTCTTACTTTCTAGGTTAATTTTGGCTTTAAATTTCTATTATAATTTTCTAGTGTAGTTATTTCTAACTTCAAGAAAAAAAATGGAGCTCAATTTTTATCAACACTCGAATTTGTTTTATAATTCATTTTTTTATTTATATAATTCTAATTTAGATTTTTTTTTAAAAAAAAAATAAATAATATTGCAAATTGAAATTCTCTTTTAGTTACAAGAAAAATTTTTCTATTTTAAAGGCATATTTAAATTTTTCAGGTCACTTTTTATTATTTTTAAAGGTATTTCTAGGTCATTTGGAAATTTATTAAGATATTATTATAGCTCTTTTTTATTTTTATGACAAAAAGAAGTTCAGATTTTTCTGGAAAAACTAGTGCTTAAAATAAAACGACTAATCGTGTAAATTTTGGAAATTGAATACTGTGCTTTTCTTGCTTAAAAATGCACCCTGCTGAGGATAAAGAACTGAACAATTATACAATCTCATAAATAATCAGAGCTTATAATGATTATAAAAAAAACTATAATTACTTCACAAATCGAAAAAAATTATGTTCTGGTTTGAATTCTCAGGTAAAACCAATTAGCCAATAATAGTTGCAGCAAAATTATTTATTAAAAAAAATCTAGTCTTCCTAAATACGGCATATAATGAACAGGGTTATTCCGAGTTCTAAATGTAGCCAATAACAGATGCATCAAAATTGTTCATTTAGAAAAATATTCAGTCCTGTTAAATAAAGCATATAAGATCAGGGTTATTCAGGAATCCCGATTGCAGCAAATAATACTTCCAGCAAAATTATTCATTAAAAAAATATTCAGCATTGTTTCAGGATTCCCAAGAGTTTTAGAAAAAATTTAAGGGTCGTTATATATCTGCATTAATAATAGTAAGAATTCATTTTTTAAAACACCATTCTAAAGTTTAAAGGTTTGGTTGGACAGACTTTTTATTAACGTTTATTTTCTTTTAAAAATATTATATCATGGGGATCACGTGTATGTTAAATGCTCAAGTTTGTCACTTTTTTGTGTCTACAAAATTAAATAAAAATATATCTTATAAAGCAAAAAAAGTATGTTTCCAATGTAAATTGTATTTACAACCATCTTTAACACCACTCTTCAATTAACTTGACTGACTGACTGATACTATGTCATCGGAGTACCTGTGGGGGATATCTACTCCTTCATTTAAGACAATAAATTGAAGGATGGGATGGGTGGTGCAACATAACTTAAGTTTCAGTAGTTCAATTAACTTCAAAGCTGTAAGCCTATATAAACCAAGACGGAAAAGAGTAAAAACTTGTATAAAGACATTTCATTCCAGCATTTATTTCGAGAAACATTAAATTTCTGTAACTGCCGAGATTTTTTTTACAATTATTACACATTTACAGAGATGCCAACTGCTCCGGACACGACAAAATAACTAAAAAAAACACTAAGTAAATTTTGCTAATATTTTACTATTTTTGCTTGCTATTTAAATGGCGTAATTATATATAAGCCTACGAATTATTTAGAAATAGTGGTGGATAAAAATCAACTAAATTGAATTTATTAAGCCAAGAATCACAATTGATAAACTACCACTTTAAAATATATATTTGCTGTCCGGAGCAAGTTGGCATCGCTGTATATATATGTCACGGCCAAAGTCCGGCCATTTCGCACTTTGGCCATACCCCTCGGCCAAAGTGCGATGTAATTGAGACGATCAGTGAATATTCTACTTTGGCCGGCCATTTCGCGAAGTGGCCACGATGTTCCGGCCAAACGCGATGCGCTCATTCAAGATAAATAAGTTTCAAATTTTTTAATATTTGTTTAATTAAAAAGCTAATTTGATATTATTGCCCCTTTTGTTTTCTTTTTAAATTTAAAAATATAAATCATTTAATTTAAAAATTTAAAAAATAGACAAGTTTTTAAATAAAAATTTAAAGAATTTAATTTTTTACTTTGTCTCAAATGGCCACATCCCACTGCAGTTAGCTGCGGGTACAGCAGATAGTAATTTTTAAAGAATGAAGTAGTGGTTATACAGAGCCAATAATACGTGCCAATGATTTTTTTTCTTCCAACTTTGGCTGATCCTTCCATGCCACTTCGCGATCGTGCCAGGCAATTCCCGAAATCAAGAAAAGATCTGACATTGGCCAGCCATCCTATGCCATTTCGCGATCTGGCCGGCCGATTCCCGAAATCAAGAAAAGGTCGGACATTGGCCAGCCAATTTACAGCGTTTTTAGCCATTTCGCGATTTAGCCGGCCAATTTGCGATTTGGCCAGCCTAATTCGTGAAGTGGCCGAAGTCGGGCTTTGGCCGTAACATATATAAAACTGCTTCGCGTTCCTGAGAAAAAATAAATATTGTACAATAGTTTGAAAAAAAAAGGAATAGATTTAATCCACCAGAAAACAATTTAAATCTGAAATGGTTTCACTACCCGCTTTTCCTCTTTTCCGTCTCGCTTTCACATTAACTTACATAAAAATTTTAATCTTTGAAAGTCATGGTTAGTTTACTTCTTATGTTCATTAATTAATGCATTCTTAATTTTAATACTTCCATTCTTTTATTTATTTTTTTGATACAGATCGCAACAACAAGAAGTACAGGGTGGTATGTTACCTTGGAAGTTGGGCAAACTACAGGCCAGGAGCTGGAAAATTCTTAATCGAGCATATTGATCCCTTCCTTTGTACTCACGTCATATATGGATTTGCTAAATTGGCTGGCAACAAGATAGCTGCTTACGATCCATATCTGGATTTGAAAGAAAACTGGGGACTTGGTAAAAAAAAATTTATGATTTTCTGCATATCTTTTGAAATTGTTATTAATAGGGGAGAGTGGGGTCAATTGTAACAGAATACGATTGTAACAGAGCAAAAATTTCTATTTAAAATTAGGTATTTATTTTTTTTCTAGAAGAGGATAGTCTACTTCACTCGTCTGTCAATTAGTACTAATAATATATTGAATATTTTGTTAGCTAAAAATAGTTAAGTAAAAAATGTTACAATTTACCCCACTCTCCCCTACTATTTTAAGAAAATGCAAACACAGTCGGACCTCTATTTAACGAAGTCGCTAAATCCCAATGAAAAGTTCCTTATATGGAAAATTCGTTAAATAGAAAATCACCATTTGAAATACTTAAACAGCACGAAACAGGTTTTAAATTCATAAACACTAGACATAATTAAAACAGCAATTGATACGCCTCTTTCTTGTAAATTATTATTTTGTATCAAATTGTTTAAAATTATTTTAACATTTTATCATATAAAGGTTTTGGTGAATTCTTCATCTTCTTCGTCTTCCTCGTAGCTAATTGCTGTATCGTTTTTATTTTTCACACTGTCCAAAATATCCAATTCAGTTAATGTTTTAGTGGTTGCAGCTTCAGAATCGATAAAAAAGAGAATCATTAATCAGTACATCATCATCAATTTCGTGTTTCTCCCTTCGCTGTTCCCACACATTTTAAAGTTCTTCTAAAGGAATGTCATCCTCATCCTCCGCACTTTCCAAATTTTCGGCGCTGACTGAGAATCCAGCTTTAACAAAACTGTTACGAATAGTACGATCCAGAGCCGTTTTTATGTTTATAGGGGCCCAGGGCCTGTCATTATCAGGGGGCCCTTTATGAGTAAATTTTGAGAAAAAAATTTTATTTCGAATAATTTTTTAATTTTTTTTTTTTTTAAGAGTAAAAAACATATAAATTAATTATAAAAACTTATATACATTATTTTTATCGAAAATTTAAGGTAACAATACTTTTCGCGCTTTTTGAGAGGCGAATCTTCTATCACATCATCAAAATCAATTTCCTGTAAGACATACAGTTTGCTTTGCAGCTCAAAATCTGTAAGACTTTGAAGCATCAAATTATGAAGGTGTGCAGAAAATATGCTAGGAGTTAGAAAGAATACAAGAAAATACAGTTTGATTATTAGTTTGTTTTTTTTTATAATCGTTGAAAAACTGACTCAATTTTGCGCCAATGTTTAACTACGTAGCCTTGAAATTTTAAAGCCAATCCAGAAGACAAGGAAACTCCTGGATCAGTTCGAAGAGGTATTGAATTGTCATAAGAACTTGGAGGAGTTTATGACCCCGTCAGATTTAACATGCACCAGTCACCATTTTATACATGGGTATTATTCGGCCGGCTGAATTCGAACTTCCATTCTCACGAGCAGGAGTCCATAGTCCTACCAACCAAGCTATCGTGGCCAAGTT